GGGGGGGGGCGTCCGCCTTCCTCCTTTGCCCCGGTAGAGAGAGAGCGAGAGAGAGAACCACACAAAGAGCCGCTATGGGGAAAGAGTGTGGAATGCGCACATGCTGTCTTCAGTAACGGCGTTACGATCTGACTTTCGGAGGTCGTCTTGCCTTTGGCGCAGCTTTATACCCAGCAGCAGAAGCACGACTTGGCTGTTGAGGCCAAAACCGTACAGTGCGAGCCGTGCTCATGGTGCTTGTGATCCCGAAGGTTCTTGCGAAATTGCCTCTCAGCAGTGGGTTCCTGAGCCAGTGCTGTTTGGGATACAGGGCGTGACAGACGGCCTGTCCGAGGTCGCACGCAACCAACAACAGTTGAGGCCATCGTGAACCTCCACCAGAGGCCGCCTCCGGTGACCGTCAGAGTGCGTACGCTGGAAAAATCATGCTGGTGTCTGACAAGGCAAAAGAGTCCTGACAAGGCCGTCGCCTGCCTCAGGGAGGCGCGCCTCTTACAGCCCAGCTCCGAATCACATTGTTTATTCCCGACACCTCTCAGTGCCTGCTCCAGGCCATCAAGTACTGGTCTTCACAGGAAGAGGAGTCAGAAACTTTGGCTCAGGCACGCGGCTGGTTTGGTGTTTAACATGCCTTGCTGCAGTGTGTCCGCTGGGCGGTAATACCTTCACAGTACGGTACCATCTCTTTCTGCCTCTCAGGGGGTGGTCCACAAGACTACATGGTATGATGTAGACGAACGAGAAGCGACAAGTTCATGAAATGCTAAGAACATTCAGTTGCCGGAGCGCAAGCTCATCCGCAATAAGAAATTATTGGGTCCTTTTTCAAACCATCCGTTGTCAACAATGGGGTCACTCCCTGCTGGTTACTGTGGACGGGTGTGCCGCATTTGGGCGTCTATACCGTTCTATGCTTGAGCTTGGCTGAGAGCCGGACTTCGTGATGTGGGAGCATCTATTGCCCTGTCTGCTACTCACTTCGACGGCTGTGTCGGAGCGGTGAGAAAATCGAAAAACAACGTCTTTCGTCGCTTTGCCGTGATTTCATGCGCTGCAAGGCCTCTCAGTCAAGCACTTACCCTGACCCTGTGAGGTGGTTCGAATAGCTGCAAGGCTGGCCATGCAGCTGAAGGACAGAGCGTTCGCAGCCGAGGCAACGGACTCTGCAAGCAGGGGCTCTTATGCTTTGCATGCTCGCGCTGCCACTGGCTGTCCGTATGCCATTTGGCCCGTGAGGCAGCGCTGTCTATGACACTTGCAGTAGCCAGCAGGATCCAGCACAGCAGCCGTCGATTCCAATCGCTCTAGTCTTCTTTCCCTCACGGATGTCATCTCTTTCGCTCCTGTCGGGCCAACCGCAGCTGCCTGAGCTTCCGCCACATGGAAATCAGGTTCTATGATGCAGGACCCCCAACCCAAAACCACCTTGGCAGATTTGGTCACAGCTGCTCTTGCGCAACCGGGTGTGACAGATGAAGTGCATCTTGCTTCGTCACTGGACAGTGAACCGCAGCGGGTGTGTCCTGAAAGTCGGGCGCACGACAGAGAGGCGACGTGCTCCGATGATGGAGGTCTGGCACAATCGCTGCGAAGTCCTGAACTGAGGGTGCACAAGCAGGCCAGCGACACTGCGAGATCGCCGGCGAGGTGCCGCGGGGTTCGGCAACCTTGGCAGAAACCTGCGAGTGCAAGACCCATCCGTCTTCCTCCACACTTAACCCTTGCAGAGGCAAGTTCCGTTGGTCTCGTGCAATCCAGAACAGCCAAGATACCGACTGCCTCTGTGCTTGAGTCGTCAGCTGTCAGACAGAAGAGGCTTTGCCGTAGAGGACCCTCTACTCCGCATCGCCGCGACAGAGAGGAGGCATGTTCACCAGCCTTGCACGAAGCTAAACACGAAAGGCAGGCAGGAGAAAGCGCTGCAGATGGGTTTCCCAGACACAGAAAGCCCTTCCAGAGTGGGCCTGTGAAGCCAGTGACGCCTGAGCCACGAATGCCGCGAAGCAAGAAGCTGCAAGTGGAGAGTGCCACGATCTCGGAGGGTTTTGCTGCATTGTCAGAGGTGGAGTCCAGTGTGTTCCGGATACTCAGGACTACACCCAAGCCACAGAATCCTGGATAGCGAGGCGACGGGGCTGTCTTTTGAATTTTCGTGTGTCACGCCCCATCGGCGTTATGCTGAGGATACCGTCCGACGATACCTTACAAGAGCGACGACAGCAAAGAAATCGAATTGCTTCGCAGCTAGTTTTAGACCGCCAGCTTCAAACCATTGCGTTACCAGACCGGAACAGCAAGGTTGTAGCCAACCGCATCACTTCTCGCGAGTGGGGGACCTAGACCGGTCTTTCGGACGCTGTTTCAACGTTGCCGCATGCAAGGACCATTCGGGCAGCCTTCAAAGGCAAAAGTTTGCTCGAAGAGAGGCTCAGTAGAGCCGTCGTTAGCCGTGAATGCCGCACGTGCACCAGTCTGTCCACCTCGATTCGATGCAGGTGGATTGGCAATCTGGATGATTCTGCCGCAGACACCGCGCATATCTCAGTTCTACAGTGGATGCTTCGGTTTGTGGGAAGGTTCTGCAGTATTCTCCTGCTGCAGAACAGGTGGGGTTTGTTTTGCCCACGCCGTTCTCAGTCAGCAACAAGATTTTCATGCTAGTGACGAAGAAACTGCTCGCCACACACCTTGGACAAGCGCAAGCATTCCGGGTGCTGTAGTTGATGAGGCCGCAGGATTGTGCCTGACCGGCACCAGTAACCTCGCGAAGAGAGAGGCGATCCTTTTGGCATGCAGATGCCAGGAAGAACTCTCATCATGAGTTCGGCTTTCGAGCTCTACAGCTGGCCTCGAGCGCTGGCAACTGCACATGGCCCAGCCTGTGCTCCAAAGGATCGCAGGCCTTGCTACACACGTTGGCACAAGGTTTGCTGGCCCAGCAAAGCCTCATGCAGAAAGCAGGCTTTCCAGGAAATCATCGCCCTTTGCACACCGGTCAGCCCCAAGCCCCAAAGTGTTGCCCCATGCGGGCCACTCTCCGTGGCCAGGCGTATGTCCTGGAAACAGGCAGAGCACCAGCGACGTTAACGAAAAGTCCTGCGGCAGCACAACAGCAAGAGTAGCTCCAGATAGCTCCAGCCTAGAACAGCTACAAGGCTATACCGCCAGCCAGAACGCGGAACAATGGGTGACGATGGCAGAGCCGTTAACCTCACGCGAACCACTGCCTTGGTCAGCTCTTGGATTCACCGGGTGCTCACTTGCGAAGGTTGTCCTGCGCCAGTGAACACGCCTTGAGTTCCCTCGCAAGAACAGAAGGTTCGTGTGTGTTGCCCGCATAATAATGCTTACAGTATATGTCTCGTACCAGTCGTCGTCATAAGCGTGACATCATATCTTTGAGTGCTTTTAATTCTAAAGCTACGCCGCTCGCCTCGGCTTGACAGTGGCGGCATTACGTGCCTTCGAGTCTGCAGGACGTAGGAGCAGTATGTGGGAAGAAGAAGAAGCAGGAGCAGTAGTAGAGGCAGCCGTAGCAGTAAGCGGAGTAGTGGCAGTAGCAGCAAAAGTAGCAGCAGCAGCATCAGCAGTACTAGTAATAGGAGGCAGGAGAGCCGGGGCGGCAGAAGCGGGATGGCTGGGAGAAGAGGGGAGGGAAAGCGGGTGCTGAACTACGAAGTGGCGGACATGTTGCTTGTTTGTGTTGAACTGTTTGGAATAGCCCACGCGAGCGAAGAAGTTTGGCTGGTTAGAAGCAGTACCAGTACGTGAGTCATTTTAACGACCAGCGCTGTCACACAGCCCACTGTTTGGCTGATTACGGACAGAGACGGGTTCGGTGGAGGGGGGGCAGGAGGGGGGGAAAGGGAGGAAGGGCAAGGGAGATCTGTCCGAGGGGGGTCGAAATTGTGGGCCAATAATTATGGTGTCGCGATTTGGTAGAGTGTTGTTTTAGTTAAACTCCCAAGACGCCGGAGGCCTGTGGCCTCGGCGGATTGAGATACGTAGTGCTGGTCTGTTCCCACATAGTTGTTCACACGGCTCAGTTCTCATGCGCTGTGCCTTGCAACATGTCAATGCAGAACACCGAGGAGCTCAGCGTGCCTTCTGTTGGCACCTTACGGCTAAGCCTCTCACTCACCCGCCATGCCAAAGACAGCTGCGGCCAAGGTCATTGCTTGGCTCCGTCGCACTGACCTCTATGCAAACACTGCGTCTTGGTTGAACAGATGCAAGAAGGAAAGGAAGCCGACTCTAAGCTTGAAATGGACCAGATCCGTGTTGGGATGGCAGGCTCTGACGCATGTGGAGGCCATGAGCACTGCCTCTATCTTGACTGGCGACAAGTGACAGAGAACTAGATTTTCTCAAAACCGATAGCCGCATTACTGGCAGGTCCTGAATTTCGTGCAGCAAATCCTGGCCGGCCACGAGGCGCATGTCGTTGACAGTTGGGAAAACCAGCCGTGCTTTTGCCTGAAGGTGAATGCAGTTTGCAACGTTGCGGGCCGACGGGGCAGAACGGTGAGCGCAATACAATTTCAGGCGCATCTTACAGAGAGTTGGAAAGGGTGGGAGTGCACAAGTGGACAGTCCGTGCCAGACGAGCGGGGTGTACAGGTCGATGTAGGCCCCGGGACTTAATGCACAAGGCAGAACACTTCAGAACACAAGGGGCACCAGAGGTTGCCAGCCACCCTAAACATCAAGTCATGATGGCAGTCGCACGTTTTCTCGCGGTGTGGGATATGGTGCACCGTACGGTGGCAAAGGGCGGGGTGCAACAAACCACCAGGGCCAGCACAGAGACAGCAAGAGCCAACTTGAACCAGCGAATGCGTTCTCTGAGAGACGCCCTGCCAGCAGGAGCAGGCCAAACACTCCAGTGAAAGCAATGATACACGGGCACTGCACGTTCCCTCCGGGAAGTCGTAAGCCTGACAGAATAAAACGAAAAGAACATGCGGTTGACTGCTCTTGTGTTTTCTTCCATGCGACCTGCTCGCACGAAGATCAGGTAGTAGCGGAATAATGGAGCCATTGTCTGTGGGAGAACGGCAGAAGTCGCACTAACGAGAGAAACCACGATGACAGACTTGCGCTATGTCCTTCAGCTAGCTTTCTGTGCTCAGGCCATCATCCACTGGATTGCCAAACACAAGGCGAAGTTCCCAGGGGAGGTTCGTACGATGTTTGAACACTTCCAGAGATGGGACTATGAGCTGCATGAAAACATGTCTCGCGTTCTGAGCCCCATGTGTCTCCACTGCACTTCCTCCGAGGGTATCAGCTATTCAGAGTGCATCACGAAGCTCGTTCATCATCCCAACGAGAGGACCATCATTAGCTTGCATTCATTTTCAATGCCTGGTTGCACCAACCTAAGCGCAGGACCAGATTAGAGCACTACTTTGAAGAGTTTGCTCATGCCAGCTCACATGGTGGCGAGCTCGGGTTCGCCTCAACAGATAGGCACGATCTCCTTGCAAGTGCTATGGCATTGCTACGGCTATTGAGGCTTCATGACTGTCTACGAGTTCACTCGCTTTTGCCGGGCCTTCGGGCTCTTCCAGCTGCGACCGGGCAGGCTTTGGGGACATCTGCCGAAAGCCCAACCAACGTTTGCTTCTTGACATGACGAAAGGTTCGTGGAGGGCGACGTTCAATTTCTTTTTGACCTAGGCGGCCTCTGTCCCACTCTGCTACCTTCTGCTGCTGCCGCGTGTCGCAACTGCTCCTGCCAGGTGATGAAGGCAAAGCTGTGGACCTCGAGGGCTTTCGGCGAGTTCTGGAAAAGGCAAGCCTGCTGCTCTTCTTGGTCACAACTCCATCCCTCTAGCCTGCAGGTGGCTGAAAGGTTGGACTTGCCGGCGCAGGCAGGTTGCTTTTGGTCAGTGCAGCCTGCGTTATGGACTGTTCCAGGAGCTGCTACATTTCCTTGGAGAGAAGGATGCCGAGCGTGTCTTCCGAGAAGGAGCGCAAAAGCAGGTTGTCATAGAGGTCTACCCCAAAATCACAGAAACTGGAACCTTCGCAGGAATGGACAGTGCCGGACTTCGCCGAAAGGCTGTTGTGGCTAAGTGACTTGAAAAATTGTACATACTTAACATCTGCGCGTGGGACCCTTCTCTGCAGTTCGCACCACGCATAACCGCTCCAAACACACATACCGGCTCCAAAGTGGGCTCCTGCTGTGCATCGCTGGCATGGGGCCGGACTGGAGCAAACGCGCTCGTCATGGCCTTTCTCAGCAGGATCACAACAAGTGAACCGAATGATGCAAAAGCTGTACAGACCAACGCCTGCGCAGGGTGAGACGAGAAGGACCGAGCGAACGAAGCGTAGTAATGCAGCATAGGGGCCGGGGCGAGCTTTAGCACGGAAGGTGTACCAGAGCTATCTTGAGAACATCGACGGATCTGACTACGAAGCGCTTTGCGGTCTCGTGCAGGCCAGTGCGGCTCCGAAAGCTCTTGCGAAGAAACCGTTGCGGCTGCTCTAAGGCCCTCGCTGTGACGGATCCAGAACGGGCCACCGAGTGCGCACCGGCTCGGGGGTTGGCAAAGCTGCTTGGTCACGGCATCCTTGGCTGAAACCACCAATGTTGCTAGCAGGTATGCCGAACGGTTGCAGGTGCCGGCTTTTGATCACCTGGATCCTGAGGACCCTTGAATTACAACGTTCAGCATCTTTAGTTCAGGCTGTTAGAAGATACTGCTTGAGGAGCTGGAAGCACAACCCATACCTAAGGTTGGTGCGATGCCGCGAGCTGATCCTCGCTTGCTTACCACACAGCTAAGTATGACATGTGTCATGTGAGCCACCACACTTGGCACGACTCGTGCCTGGAGTAGCCATCGGTGTTACCTTTTTGCGAGCAAGGAAGTGCACAAATCTATGTGAGACCTAGCGAGCTTTACAACGTTCGAACGCAGGCGCCGAAGTATTCACAAGCCTGATCAGCCTTCATGGCCGGATACGCATGCGCAAGAGAAGAGTCAGCCTGGAAGTTACTAAAGACGAGACCCAGGGATCTGGAAAAGAGGCAAGCGACTTGCAAGAAAGGTACTCGATGAGCGACTCAAGTCGCTTGCAAGGGTACCGACGTATGTGGTACACATGCTATGGGATCTTTTCAGCCTTCAAGCGGTCGGGTTGTAAATTTGGATTCCCGCTTTTAACTGCGAAATCACAATACATGGCGACTGTTGTAACTAGACTGAATTGAATTGAATTTAAGCGCGCGCTTCACGTAGCTGACATATGTCGCACAGAGGTCAATTGAAACGGAAGGGGTTTTAATTAAATTTAATTGAACAAACATGAACTTAAGCTCGCGCCCCACGCAACGCATGCCGACACATGTCGCGCATATGTCAATTGAATTTAATTGGTGTTAAATGAACTGAATTGAAGTTTAGCGCGCGCGCGCCACTCAACACATGCCGACATTTGCCGCACATACGTCAATTGAATTTAATTTGCTTTAGTTAAATTTGATTGATTTACTGGTATTTGAGCGTGTGCCCCACGCAACACCTGCCGCCATAAAGCGCACGCCCGACGCAACACATGCCGGAAATGTGTCGCATGCCCAAGCAACACATGCCGACATGCCGGACTCCGTTTCGGCGGCATCTTCAGAGATGCAAGGTGTCGCCCGTCACGCTGAAGAGAGGAAAAAGAAGCTCAAGTCGTTCGCCGCATCCTCCTCTCCGGGGGGTGCGCTCCGCACCGGCCCTTCGGGCTGGGGGAGAGTGGCCTCTCCCAGCCTGGGGCCTGGGCAGGGCTTGAGGCCACATATCCGACGCCGTTCCAAGCTCAGGTTGCGAAAGGTTAGGGAGCCTTGCAGCAATCCTTGGACCGTCTATGCAACTCCCTCTTCGAGGTCTTTTCCAGGGAGGACGGCGAGAACGAGCCAGCACGTGATCCACGCCGTGCAAGCAAGCAAGCAAGAGAGAGAAAGGTGTACCCTCCTTTTTGCCACGCCAGAAGGAGTGTGCCGGCGCGCAGAGGGGAAACAACCCCTTCCCCAAACCTGCAGAAAGCAAGGCGAGAAAGAGAAAGAGAGGAGACCGGGAGTTCGGACGAAGGTGTCAAAGTGAGTAAGGACACACTTCCCAAACCAGATCAATGGGAAACACCAAGACCAAGACCAAAATATCTCTGCAGGCAGGTTGCGTAAACGCAAAGGAAAACCTAACGTCGGACAGACAGTAGACAGCACGCAGATGCAGTAGTCAGTCACATCGTCTGGGTATGTCCCTGGTGCCTGCTGGAGACTGCAAAGAGACGACGAAATCGTGTGCGCTTCTGGCAATTGGTCAAAACTTTTTCTCCCACCCGTTCAGTGCCATGAAAGACTTGCGCTCATGAATGTTCAGGTTCTCGCAACGTCGCCGTGACAGGGAAGATGAGGTGCCAAGTGAGAAGGGATGTCTGTTCCTTGACAACAGCCATGGCTCAGGCGGACGGTAAGCCCGTCAGAGTCAAGAAGAAGCGGAAGCTTGGAGCTCAGCCACAGAAGCGCGTGGACAACAGGTAAGCCAGTGTCCTTGCGACACCATCTATACAAGTCTCTGCCAGGCGGAAGATCCGCTATCCGAAAGGCTTCGACCCGGAAAACCCTGGACCTCCCCCAGATCCGGAAAGGCCAGGACGTTACCGGCGAAGTCTCAACAGTCGCCTGTTGTCACTCTGTGATTGCAGGTGGCTTCCAAAGCGGGAGCGATCAGAATTTAAGCGGTACTGTCGTGTTTATTGCCATGCTGCAGCTGGCGGCTGCTAATGCTGCTGCTCCTGTCACCTTTGCCTGTTTCCAAGTGCTCACTTGCACAGCATGACAGGAAGAAGATGCGAAAGAGGGATAAGCACTTGCTTCGGGGCCCTCAGGGGCAGTGGTCTCAGCATCATCGGACTCGGACAAAACACAAGCTCAGCCGGTTGTTAGAAGTCTGCTCCTGCCCCAGGGCGATCACCACGGAGGACTTTCGCAAGCAGGGACCATCGACAGCCCAAGTGGAGGCTAGCTGCGTGGGTCAGAGCACAGCATTTCGTGCCTTGCCAGCTCCTGTTTGCACCATCCTTTCTCCATGTGCCGTTTGCCAGTTTCCCTTCAGGTCCAGTTCGAAAGGCGACCAGCATGAGATGTGCATGCACTCAGCGAGCCAGGTCTCGAAAGACGCAAGTGGACCTTCAAGAAGGAGTGGGAGAAAAGCTAAAGGCGACGCGTGGTAAGACAAATGCTGTGGTTCGAGACTGATGAATGCCGCGTCCCCAGCCGAGCCGAGGCAAGTGAGCGACAGCACCTGAAGGGCTTCCCTGACTCTTCACTCAAGCGCCATATGGGCCATAATGGTTGTAGGAGGAGTCGCACAATGCAAGCACGTGCAACGCAGTCTCATCAGATCTCAGTCAGACATTCCTTGCGCTGCGGAAGATAGGTAGCCAGGTAGCCTTTCGAAGTGCTGCGGATACCCTTCTTAGGCGAGCAAGTTTATGCAGCCGGTGCAGGTCAATCAGAATGCACTGGAGCATGACGTACTTGCCTGGAGGTCTTGCCACGCCTGTGGAAACAGAGCTGGTTTGCCATGCACCACCCCGGCCGATCCACACTTGCTGCAAACGTCGGCAGCTTGTTAAGTTAGATGCAGTTGAACTGCCCATGGCTCGAAATGAATTCAATGGTCAAGGGGCAGAGACCATGCCGTTGGGACTGAACTTTCAAGGCATAATTAATGTCCGAGCTCTGCTGATTTACAGGGAACTGTCGCAACTACAGACAGTTGCATCGCTCTCGCTTGTTTCAGATTCAGCAACGAATGGCAATGCCAGCATGACTCACCGGATGTTTTCGGCACAGTGCTTTGTGCCAAGCCTCCAACAGAGATGATGGCTCAGGCTGGACGTGAAGATGTCAGATCGCTTGTAGGCGTGAAAGTACGTGCACGCTGTTGGCTGCAGGCGTGCAAGGTGCCGCAACTGACGAGATGGGAAATGGTATTTTCGGAGGTGCAAGAAGTGGACTGCGGCTCTGAGGGCTGCGATTTACAAAACGATGGATGTCGAGGACGTAATGACGACGAGGAGGAGGAAGCTGCGGAGCAGAAGGAGTGGAAGTGGAGAGCCTGACTTAACGCGTCACTTCCGCTTCGTCGATTCGCTTGCGAAGGCCTTGGAGAAATGGAGGCCCGAGCTCTTCGGGCCAGGCCCCCAAGGCCCAAGGCCTCAGAGGCGAAGCGTCTTTGGAAGAGCGGTCTCCTTCAGTCTTCCGAGGCACGGGTCGGTCACGGTGAAGAAATTCCAGGCCCAGTCCGACCCCGAGACTCGCGAGACTCGCAAAGCTCCGTGCGTTGAAGTGCCGATTTCTGCCGCCTCTCAGGGGATCACAGGATGACTTGAGCATCGAGGGTGACGACATGCCAGGAACCCTCGAGTCATAGAGGACAAAACCGTGCTCCCGATTTCTCAGTGACAGATGACAAAGGTCCGTGGCTTCCTCCGTCAGCCAGATGGAGGAGGCACCAGACGAGTGATGCTCGTTTTGCTGTTAGCCTAGTTAGTGGCGAGGTGACGTTGAGCTTACACCGATCACCATTTGTGCCTTCAGGAGAAGGAAATTGTTCGCGCCGAGGAGGAGGAGGAGGCTGCAGATGAGGACGAAGCACAAGATCAGGAGGGCTTGCTCCTGTGCTCGAGTTAAGATTAGCTTCTGCAGTGCCCAGATTGTCAGGAAAAGGGCTCGCAGCAGGAAGGCTCGCACAAAGAGGTCGAGACAGTAGTGTGAGAGCTGCGAGGGCTTGCCTTTCCGCAGCAGAATGCTGTCCTCAATTTTGGCGTGTCTGGGAGGGAGCCGGATCGGACAGCGAGGATGGGTTCGATCCAGAAGAGGAGGTGCCAAGCACTCCGTGTTGAACGAAGCGGTGCCCCGAAGAAGTTTGTGTCAGTTACAAGCAGATGCAAGCAGCATCCAGTAATGAAGAGTTGTGGGGACAGGCAGCTGCAAAGAGGGATGAGGCCCGCAGGAGAAAGAAGATCATCGTGGTGTTGCTGGCACGATTGCTTTGTCTCCTGGGTGCGTGAGGATTTGGATATCTTCTTGAATTCCTTAAGGTACTATAAACTTTCCTCTGCACGACTGTGCCCGTCTTGGCAGCGCATGGAATTCGAGCCACTGCTTTCGCTCCACGAGCCGCTGGGTGCCACAGTGGAGGAGCCTCCTTCAACCCTTTTTTTCTTACTTACTCGTACGACCGATGCAACGCAGGAGCCAGCAGAAATCTTCTCTGTCGGGAAAGGTGGCAAGCGGAACAAACGCCTTGAAGAGGCAGATGCGGTATCGTAATCAGCGCGGTCGGCTTGTTCATGTGGTCGGCTCGAATCCTGACGCATTCCCACTGCAGGCAGCCCTGGAAGATGCGAAGGTTGCCTACCGGGCCAAGTCTAAGGCACCAAGAGGGACGGGTCCGGGCTGGGCCTCTCTGCAGAGTCTAACGTGTTGGCAAGGTAGCTGCAGGCTGGCTTCTTGAAATGGGACTGGAGGTGCAACTTGTACGTGTTTTTGCCATGCCCAATGGTGTTGTTCCTCATTCATCAGGACTGCCTGCTGGCAGAACTGGCGCAAGGTGTTGGAGAGGACCAGCACGTGCTTTCTGCGTCTTCTTCCTCTTACCTCATTGCTCTTTCTCTGGCTATCTGCATTCGAATTCCTTGTGCCGTCCAGGATCCAAACGAGCTACGCTTTGCACTCGAACAGTGGACGTCTCAGTCAACACGATGCCTGTTGAGAGCATCACGAGTGCCTGTGCGGCATTGCGCCCTAAAACCGAAACCGATTTGGCACAAAGTCCTGGCACAGAAGCGGGAAGGCTGGACCTTCCTGTTGGAAATGGAAATGACCACCTTGCCAGAGTTGTTTGTGACAACAGTCTCGAGGATCGCGCCTGTTGAGGGTGCGATCCTCGTGACAGTCGTACTTCCCTTCACCGCAGGGGGTCAGAGGGGCTCCAGAGCATTCTGCGGAGGTCTCCTGTCAAGTTGCCGCTGTAGCCCGCCCAGGAGCAAGCGCTTCATAGTGGATGATGACTTGGTGGTGTGGGACCTCGGGATTTCTGGCTCCACACTCCGGCTTCATGGCTCAGCCCCTCAGGTAGAGAAGACTCTGGTTCAAAAAGTTTTTGATGCCTCAGTCCCAGGTGATAGGCATCGTATGCATATTTGCATGATTTGCCTCTCGTTGTGACTTTGCTTCTTGTTTCTGACATCTCTGTGACAAGGTCATGGAAAGTGACATTGAGACAATGACTGAAGTGCTCAACAAACTTGGAGAAGCAGAAGAGGTCCCTCTCAGCTTATGCTCTCAGTCGCTTTGGCTGCTTCTGGGCTGGGCAGAGGCGGGTGTGCGACTGGCTGTCAGAGACTCTCTTGGAGAGTTGAAGCCGAGACCTCACAGTGAGAATCCACCACAGCAGAATCAGACTCTGGGCCATCCTTTCTTGGGCAGTCTTTTCTCGCATGTGGTTTCAAGGATCAGAGTGGCAAATGACATAGAGCTTATCGAGCGGGTGGATCCAGAGGTGCTGCTTTATTCTGCCTTTCAGGGATGACTTGATCGGCAGCTGTCCGTGAATCTCTCTCGGCAGAGGACTCTGTTCAAGCCAAGGCTCAAGTTCAAGCTCTACATTGACTCTATACCACGCTCCCCAGAAAGGGACCTGCTCCGAGTTTGAAGTTGATCTAGTTGAGCCCGAGCGGGACCCAATGGAACAAGAAATCCAGACCCAAACAACGCAGCCCACCGCCGCAAGAACAGACTCCTGGCAACTTTGCCAGATGCCTCGCGCGTCGATCCTGCTAGCCATGTCGCTGTCTGTTGCGGGAGCGGCATGGTGATGTGCTCAGTCGGGCTGCAACGCATTTATGTAAGACAGAGCCCTGAGTGGCCAGCTAACAGCATGCATTCATCAGAAGGGCTGGCGTGGTAAATCATTGCGAAATAGAGCCGAAGGACCAGGGATTGCGATCTCGCCTGCGTCCAGTACCACGATTTCCAGGCCACGGGTTGCTGTTTGGCAGTTTTTCCAGGAACACAGAAACCCCTGTGTCAGGACAGTCTGCATCTCGCCAAAAGTAGATGTGTCCATGGCCCAGCGATGATCAGTGATTTTCGGGCAAGTGCCCTTTTCCAAACATCTCTTTTCAGGAGCAAAGAAGCGACTGCATGGGAGTGGTGGACTTTTCCGAGAACGGTGGCATCTTCGCTCTTTGCAAGACCGGGTCTTTTTGACACTCTGCGAAGTCATACCAGCGCAATACCAGCCGGGACTGCAGGATCGACTCCGACATTCGCCATTGGCCGAAGGCCTCATCATTTGTGTGCATGTTGCGCGTGCGCACGCGGTCAGCATGAACTGGACAGGTGTGCGTCGAGCGCCGAGAGAATTCTGAGCTGTGAGTCTGCAGACCTGGCGGCGCTGCCAGGTCTGGATAGTCGTTCTGCGGTAGTTCGCCGAGTTTGGGCGCCACAAGTGTGCCCTGCGTTGCAGCGCCCTCCATGAACTTCCGAACAGCATCAGACGTTGACGATCTTGATGATTCGTGATTCTTTGTCGGGGCTCGTGCTCTAGAGACTGGCCCGAGAAGCACTGCAGGAAGAGCAGCGAGCCAGAAGGGAGGAGGAGAAAGTACAGAGGTGCCCCTTGCAAAGTGAGGACTCCAAAGCGAAGCGATGCGAAGCGCGTCTCGCTGAGGGCAAAAGAGAAGATGGAACGAAAGAAGGAGCTGCAGAAGCGCAGGACGCGACCTCGGTCTCTTCACGGGCAATGCTTCATGCACTTGCCGCACTTGCCAACAGGCGCAAGCGAGGCCAGCAAGTGTGGCCTCCTTCGGATCTCCGTCCATGGGTCAGAAGATGTGCTTGCAGAAACTCGCGTACACTGCTTGCAAGGGAGAAAGGGTGAGGAGGAGCAGGAAGCGGAGTCGGAATCTTCTGACGAGGACGCGGCAGTTCACGTCATGATGTGCCTTAGCGCATCCTTGACTGCCAATCCTGTCAGGATGGTGGCCCTCAAGACGTGGCGGCACTCGCCTTGTCTGTTTTGGCGACGGGAATGTGTCGGGTCCTGCAGAACCTTTAAAGTACAGGACAAGAAAGCATTGGCGTTTCGAAGGCTGCAGGCAGGGAAAGGGTCCTGCCGTGGAGTCTGATGGGGTTTACAGAGTTCAGTATGCTTCGACACGGAAACGTGCAGGTGCAGATCAAGATCGAAGAGTTTCTGAAGGCATACACCCGAGGCATGATCCTGACACTGTGCTTGGAATGTCCGGCTTCACATTGGCTGGCAGGTCAAAACCTTGTCAAGATCAATGCTAAAGGGAGGAGGTGGGCTGCTGGCATAAAACATAAAGTAATCTGGGCTGTACGCTGTTGCCTGGCCAGGGTTTGCTCGTTCCATGCTCTCGACACTCGACAAACCCGGGAAAACACAGCCTGTGGAGCCATCCCCACCCCCTTTACTAACTGTAGGGGGGGGGGGGGGGGGGGGGGGGGGGACATAAACAGTGGTTATAAACTAAAGCTGTTAAGGGTTTTGGAGAGTTTTAGAATGTTTGAACTGTCTGAAGGAATTCAGTCTAACTCACGAAACTGGGGACATACATCACATGTTTACCGTTTCCTTATCATGGTAACTTGCACTCAGTTCGTTCTCAGCTCGATTGTGAAGCATCTACTCGTCGCGTTTTGCCTTGGCGTCGATTTGCATGAGGTTTAGGAAGTTGGGTAATTTAGGGTTTACGGCGTCTTTAACCGTGTGTAGAAGTTTGGTCTGTAAGGCTCGCGAGCTTTGTTTCGAGTGTTCTTCCCGTCTTTCCGATTATGCGCTTCAGGCATGGTCATTCATGCCCTATATACTATGATAGCAGCATGGACCAAAGCTTCGTAAACCCTGAATGCAAAAAAAAACGCAAACTCCTGTAACCCCTAAATGCCATCAAGTGGGGTTTGCATTAGGGCTGTGGGGCTGTGGTGAGTCTTTGTCGAAACATAGGAGATGGTACATCTGGACTGTCCCTATATATGGGTTACGACCTAGTAAATGTTAGTAATCAGGACCTGGCTTCAATTCATTCAACCCTACCCATAGGCCCCTAAGTAGTTCCTTCTTGAGATTAACTTATAGGATTCTAAATATAAACCCCCAAAGGAACTACTTAGGGGCCTATGGGTAAACCTAGACGCCGAAAAGGAGCTTCAACCAACTGCTTTCGGTTTTTGACGGCTCCAGCCGTGGCGATCTGACTCCCAACAAAGGGCCCAAGACACAATCCCTCAACCCCAGTTCCAAAGCCACGACCGATTCTAGGTCAGAGCTCTTGCTTCTTAGAGTGTGAACTTTAAGACACTAGGGATTTCGCAGCCCTGGCAAGCGTGTCAGAGCTGTGGTTTCCGAGGACAGAAAGTCGGTTTTTGGTTTTGGGGTTCAGGGTTTAGGGCTCTTGGTTGTTGAGGGTTAGGGTGTGCTCTTTTTTCCGCAGCCGTGGCATTGTTGAAGTTTTGATGCCTCAAACTGAAAAGTGCTACCCCCAGAAGGCTCAAAGCACTTACAAACAGCGCTTTGAGCCACCGGGAAAATCGGACGTCTCCTGAGATTTTCAGACTGCAACTCGAAACCCTGCGGGTTTGAAGGCGAAGGTTATAAATGTATAATCCTGAAATAGTGTACCCTATAGACCCTAAACTAAACCGTAAGACCGTAAAACCAAAAAACCTTGTAATGCAAAGCCCTAAGCCCTCAAACCCTCATATACATCGTGATCTTTCTCGGATGGGAAACTGCCTTTGCGCTTACCCACAGGCCCCTAAGTAGTTCCTTTTTATGCTTTATATGTAGAATCCTATAAGGCAATCCCAAAAAGGAGCTACTTAGGGGCCTATGGGTAGGGCTTGGAAGGTGATCAACCCGTATCAGCTGCCAGCACTTTCGACGTCCACCGACTGGACGGTGTGGACCTACAGTAACCCATCAGGCGCGGGTGTTGAGTATAGAGTTTCGGGTTTAGGGGTTTAGGGGTTTAGGGTTTAGGGTTTAGGGGTTTAGGGGTTTAGGGGTTTGGAGTTTCGGGTTTGGGGGCTAGGGTTTGGAGGGCCTAGGGTTTCCCGGTAGGCATATGGGCACTGTTCGCCACAGACTGATCGGTTTGCTAAGGCTTCAGATACGGTAATGAGCTGAGCATACTTGTTGGTATGGTATGGTTGGCGTGGTTGCCGTAGCTTGTTGCAAAGAGGCTAGCAGTATTGAGTTTACTCACGATGGTCAGCATCATCGCCGCTGGCGAATCGCCACCATCGTTGGCAAAATCGTCGTCGCCACCCTTGTCATGTTCATATGCATCTCATCATCCGCACCATCTGCGTCATTGCAATGGTATCATCATTTCCACCGTCATCGTTATCTTCATCTTCAACTTCATTTTCTCATTACTTGCGCTCTACGCTCAGATTTATTTTTTTCATGAGCACAAATCTGGACAGTGAGGTGCATGCACAGGCAAAGTCCGTGTCTAGCCGTGTCAGCAAAACATGGCGGGAGCTCCGTAGGCACCCATCTGGCTGGAACCCGAGTCGCAAGCTTGCACGAGTATAGGCGATTTTGAGGGGTACGCGCAGGATTCCCGTAACACGCATGGCGCTGTGGCGGGCCCAAAATTTGTGCGGCACTGTGGCCCTAAACCCTATACACCCTAAACCCAAACACGGCATTGTGGCGGGAGCGCGATTCATCAGGTCCGGATGTGCCAAAGCTTCCAAGGTCCGCGACTTTGGAATAGACCGACAGCAATTCCGCCCGTCTTTCCTAAACCCCTGGTAGCACAAACTCCACTAGAATCCATGCAATCCATACATACGTATATATATATATGCACATAACATATAATACACTTATATACTAGAATCCTTAACATTAGGACTCCCCGAAGCAGTCACCCGAACATTTCAGGCACCCAATCGAGCCCCAGACTCGAAGCCCTCCACCCTGATACTACGGTTGATGATATAAATCCTGCAGTACCTTAAGGACCCTAAACTATATGGGAATTATGGTATATTCCTACCTTAAGGACCCTAAACTATGGGAATTATAGTATATTCCTACCTTAAGGACCCTAAACTATGGGAGCTATGGTATATTTCCTACCTTAAGGACCCTACACTATGGGAATTATGGTATATTCCTACCTTAAGGACCCTTCACTATGGGAACTATAGTATATTCCTACCTTAAGGACCTTAAACTATATGGGAATTATGGTATATTCCTACCTTAAGGACCCTAAACATGGGAATTATGGTATATTCCTGGTTTATGGGTACTGCAGGATTTATATCATCAGCCGTAGAGCCTCTTTTTCAGTAAGCTCCCTACAAAGACTTGATGCGCACCTTACAGACAAGTAGGTTTGGTAGCTCACGGTATATTCCTTAGTTGACATTGATGTAAGAATATAGCTGTATATATACAAAGTATAATTTACTCCAAAATGCTGTTCCAATGTAAGGCCCGTAGAACCCTTTACAGTACACGCAGAGTTCTCTAAATTAGGGTCCCTTTTAGGGTCCTTTTTTATAAAGGTGCCGTACTATTTTGGGGACCTAGAAAGGGAACCGTTATAACCTAGAGAACTACCTATACTGAGAGGTGCTGCCGAAGCAGTGCTCGATCGCACCACTTTCCCGGGCTTCCCGCTGATCCCGCGGCTGAGCACCTGGAAGGTGCGAAGACTTCAGCACAAGGGGGGGGGGGGACTGCATTTTTGAGTTTAGGACTTAGGGATATTTAGGGCATTTAGGGCATATCATACGGGATCTCTGTATGGGTTTTACAACGGGTTTGGTGCTTCAGTGCTTAAAAGTAGAAGGGTTTCGGGTTTAAGTTTGTCCAGGGCCTGTTCAGGGCTATAGGGCGACTTGATTCGTCGTTCTACTCATGGGCTTAGGAGATGGAGATGTTCAACAGGCTGTCGCACTAGAAACGACGATGATTTTGGTTTTGATTCAATTCAGATCTTCGAGTATCGAGCATAGTCCCCGGCTGTGGGACTTGACGATAGCGGTGATGATGAGAGTGACTGGGCATGGCAATGGTGACAGTAGTGGTCCTGACGCTGCTAATGATGTCGGACATCGTGATGGGCTCGGATGTCCTTGTAGAGTCGTGGTGGTGGCTGCGGTGGCGGTGGTGGTGGTTGTGGTGGTGGTGGTCGTGGTGGTCGTGGTGGTGGTGGTGGGAGTATGTAGTGCTTGGAATCTGCAAGCTCCGAAACAAGTTCTACTTTAGGGTTCAGGGTTACCCAAGCCACGATAGCTACGCAAGCCTAGAGTCCCATGCGTTGTGTCAAGTGCTACAGTCTGCTGCAGGTAACAGCTCCTTCAGTCCAGTCGGCTGGGCGCACCGTATCAGGCTTGACTAGGGTTTGGGGTTCAGGGTTTAGAGATTCCGGAATCCGGAAAGCTGTCAAGTGGAATTACAGATTGCGTGTAGCGGCTGTCGGTAGACCGTCGAAAGTTTGAAGTCTTTAGACCTTTAGCCTTGCAGCTGAAACCTTTTGCGGCTTCCGAGGCTTCTTCCCTGTCGCTTGAGTTTGTGGGTGTTTTGAGTTTTTGGTGGGATCACATGAGCAGGCGAAAAAAAGCTGCAGCTTTTCCCTGCAGGCGATGAGTAGCGAATCCTTTTTGCCTCGGAGGGAACCCCCGCAATCCTCTCTGCACGTGTAGCTCCGGCTTCACCCCGCTCAGCACTGAGGACACAGGGTTTAGCAGGTCTCATGGAAATTTAGGGTTTTAGGGTTTTAGGGTTTAGGGTTTAGGTTTTGGGGTTTAGGGTTTAAGGTTTAGGGTTCTGACGATTTTTGCGTGCGCTGAAACGGGTAGTTAGTCCGAAATTTAAAGAGCTACCCGGAGGCAACTGTACTGCTATTTAACTTTACCTACCTGTGAAACTACAACGGGGTGTCACAGCCCACCCATGGTGTCACGTAGAAGCCTGAATCATTCGTAATCCTGCTCTAGAATTTCCTTCAT